TCCCCTACCTGCCCTGCGGTCGCCTTGCCGGCGGGGGGCCGACCAGCGGCCACCTCGCGCCTTTCGCTGTCCGGCCAGGGTTCCGCCAGCGGTGTGTCCAAAAAAATTCCCACGCTCTCTCGTCGCCCTCTGCCGACCGGACAGCCTCCTCCCCTATCGACGACTGGCTCGCCTCGAACAACGTCCCGTCCAGTCGAGCTCAATACGATTGCACCATGGCATCGTCGCCGCCATCTTGCGCTCCAGGCCATGCGATGTGGGGTGAAGCCACTTCGAGGAGGTCCATCTGCTGAGGGCTGCCAGAGTGGGCAGCGATGAGCGGCGAGACAGCAGCCAGCTGGCCTCCGTCGAGAAAGGAGGCCAGCACGTGCGAGCATTCGAACTTCGAGCCTTGCGGGAAAAAGGGGAAATCTGGCCTGGGAGGGCAGCCACGTCGGGCCCGGCGAGTCAGGAAGGTCGCTTGGCCTGCTTTGGCAGGCAAGCAGCTCGCTGATCAGCCCAGCCCAGCCCTGGAGCCGGGCTAGGCCAGGCCATCCTGGCGCGGCGCAGAGGGGGTCGGCGGCCCCAGGCGAGGCAAGCGAGAGGCGGGCGTCGTCGACACCATCCGCAGACACCACCCTCTCCGATCCCTACCACGCCTCCAGCAACTTCTCAAGAAATCGTGAGTGGCCCCGCATGGCGCAGCGCCCATTCGCACCGGCAGGACCTCTTGATGTCGCAGGAGCAGCCATCGCCATCGCAGCCGCTACCGACACCGCCGCTGGCGCCATCATCGACGACGAGGACGGCGATGACGACGAATGACAGCGACACCGACGTCGACGGAAGCCTTATATGAACCGATCGATTCGAGATCTACATCTGTACCCGCTGCCGCTCCGACCTACGACGCCCGACCTTTGACCCCGACCTACGACGAAGACCTTCGACCTGCGCTGCACACTTCGAACCCTGCCACGACTACTCTTGGTTCTCTCGCAACGAGGTGCATGGTGTGCCTGCCAGCTATCGCCTTCTCGACGAGAACGTCACGCCTGTTCGGACACGAGACTTTTGGAAGCGCAGGCCGGACAGTTGCTCGGTGGAAGCTGCACAATCTTCGTATCTCGACTTGTCAGCGATGTTCGACATGGTCACCAACTTGCACTTCTGCGACAGCTTGCGACATCGACGAGGTCCTGCGGTCCGGATGGGGCGCCAGGCGTGCGACGTTGCCCTTGAAACGAGGTCTGAGACGCTGACCTAGACTTACTCTCTTCTACTTTGCCCCGACTCGTGCACTACGATCCGTCCGACACGCCCCTCAACTCTCTACTTTTCCGACCCTTTCACATCATCCCTACCATCTTCATCTTTCACCCTCGCCTCGACTCGCCGTTCCATCGACCGCCTGCCTACTCCTTTCGTCCGCCCTCGACCCTCTTCGACTCGACATCACCGTCTGCCTTCCCTACCCGCCAAACTCGTTGGAACCTCGTTACGTCAACAGATCAAAAATGGGTGCCCAGTCCTTCAAGCGCTACGTCGAGACCGGCCGTGTCGTCCTCATCAACGACGGCCCCAACCAGGGCAAGCTCGCCGTTGTTGCCGAGATCATCGACCACAACCGGGTAAGTGTCTCGGCACGCACGCAGGGCTCCGTCCTCTTGCTGCTTTCGGAAGGTCATGCTGGTCGGTGCAAGGGGAAGGAATGGCCGGTGGCTGGCGGACACAGTACAAACAGGCCTGGGCGAGGGACAGCAGGATGCCGGAAGCATGGTCGGGCTGGCGCGACGTCGCCAGCATGGCCTCTCGCACATCGACGAGGATCAGCCTCGATAAGGGCGGTCCGACGAGGTCGTGCCGACGAGTCGACGTCTCGTTGAGAGACATTTTGGACGCAGGCGGAGGACTCTGAGGAGTCAGATGGCGATTCTCAGGGAACAGCGGTGCTCGGAAGGTCCTGGACGACCAGATGGGCCATCCTTGCGCTGGCTCACCGACGATAGCCCCGGGAGAACGACGTCGAACGCAGAATGGCACGCTGACCCTCTTTGCACTCTGGACGTACGTCTCTTCATCCTCGATTCCTCTTCTTGCAGGCCATCATCGACGGTCCCCAGACCGGCGTTGAGCGCCAGGCTTTCCCCTACAAGCACCTCACCCTGACGCCCCTGGTTGTCAAGGGCCTCCCCCGTGGTGCCGGCTCCGCTGCCGTCAAGAAGTACTTTGAGAAGGAGAACATTCTTGAGCGATGGGCCAGCTCGGCCTGGGCCAAGAAGCTCGCCGCCGTCAAGACCCGCCGCGCCGGCAGCGACTTTGACCGCTTCCAGGTTGCGCAGCTCAAGAAGCAGCGCCGCCACATCCTCGTCGCCAAGAAGGCCTCGGCCTAAGCGTCGCGCACCCGCCTTGCCCATCTTTGCTTCTTGATCCCCCCTTGCCGCCCTGCCGGTCCTCATCCTTTTCTTTGCCAGCTCCTCCGCCGCCTCCTCGGTCGCAGGCTGCCGCCTCTTTGGTCCCCAGTTCTGGGCGGTCTGCGGCCTTGGCTGGTTGGCCCCTCACACACACACCACACGTCTTCACGCAACCTCGCGCAATGTGCCGCACGACCGGGTCCGGATGCGCTGCTGATGGCGGCGAATCCGCACCTCGTCTGTTGTGGCAGTTGGCTACATGTACTATGCATCACCCACCGCCCTTGCCGCCCCTCAGAACTGGGGACGACCCTCAATCCAAAACAAACCAGACGGTCCAAAAACATCCAGCAGACTTGATTGTGCCGGCCGTGTGCGCGAGTCGGACTGAGCTCGGCATCGACGTTGGGAAAGGAGATAGGAGGGGTGCAGGCCAGCATGACGGACGAGGGCCAGGAAGCGGGCGGGGCGCGAAAGCCGATATGCGCTGGCTGGCTGGCTGGCTGGCCAGTCCGGCGGGACTTGCCGTCGACGTCGATGTCGATGTTCGATGTCGCCGTCGGTGCCAAGGCCCGCCGCGAATTCCGGCGTACGCCGACGCCACAGGTAGCGCATCGCCACGTCTGTCCTCGGTCCCTGCCCGGTCTGGTGGACAGGTGAGGGCTGGGTGGACCTCGAGATGCGGGGTTGAAAGGCAAGCAAGGAAGGACGACGATGGGTGGACGGACGACGGTGCGACATCATCGACCGACTGCCGGCGATGGCCGCAGCCCCACCGTACCCCCTATCTTTGCGCGCGCATGAAGCCACGTCGGCATCGACGCGCGGTCGGCCGTCTTCCGCATCGCCCCCCTGTCTCTCGATGTGTAACCAGCGCAGGCCGGGGCGTTGGTGGATGGCGAGGAGGCGAGGCGAGATGCTGGCGGACGTGGAACGGGTGCATTTCGTTATCTGATCCAGCTCAGCTTGCTTGTGCGTGCGGTGCTGGCTGCTGCCATCTCGTCGCCCGCCCAAGAGTTGGATCTGGCCGGGACCCGCGTGATCGCCGGATGGCGAACGATGCAAGGGTAGTCGTTCGGTGCTCTACTTCTGCAGCTCTATCCGTTTTTCGCAGAACGGCGGACGGGCGGCGGCGGTGACGACGACGACGACGACGTGGAAGGGCATGCATGGTCGGGCCACGACGACGACGTTGCATGGCATGGCCCGGCCGACGGCGTGGACAACACATACACAAGCACGCACGCACGGCCGGACGGGCAGCGGCACGGAGAGGGAGAGAGAGCGGAGCGTGGGGGCGAGCGGGAGAGGCAGCCGGGCCAGCCCTGCCCAGGCACGCCCCACGGCCAGGCGGGCCTCGCCTCTGGCAAGAAAAACGTTGGGGGCGGGGGGCCGTCTGAGGAGCAGCGCAGCGTGGCCGCCCCGCTCAGCCGGAGGCCACGCCGCACCTCGAGGCTCGGCTCTCGGCCATCTCTCATCTGCCTTCGTCACCCGGGTCAGTCAGGGCCTGCCTGCCAGGCGAGCCTAAACGGCTGGCTGGCTGGCTGGCTCGTGGTGCCCAGGCTGCAACCCGCCGCCGCCTCGGCCTTGGGCCAATCGTCCGGCAGCCGGCCCCCGTCCCGTCGACCTCTGCCTCCGCCCGGCGGTCTCTCTCCCTCTCTCTCTCCGCGTTCTCTCCCGCTCTTGACCCTCTCTCTTCTCGTCCTTCGGCCATCCCTTCGTCGCCTCGCTCCTTGCAACACCGGCGACGACGCCGACAACGACAAAGGCGACGATCAAGACGACATCCTGCTCGGCTCTCGCATAGATCCTGGACTCGGAACACGCTAGACCCGGAACACGCAACCCCCTCGCCGCATTCCCCTCGCTGCCCTCAACAGGCGTATCGACTCTATCGCAGCCTACATCCAGCGGGTGTGTCGGCCAGCAACTCACGCCACACAGACAGGCACGCTGCCTGGTGTCGCAGACGATCCGGCACGCAGGCCCACACTCTTCTAGCCTGCCCGCCCACGGCCACCGTCTTCGAACGCTATCCCATCCGCCAGCAGCCTTGGCCCTTCCGATCCCCGACGCCGACGGCACACGCCGCCATCGGCCCTCTCTTCTCCTCTCCTCTCCGTCTTCGCGGCGGCGGCGGCGTCGCTCGCCCTCGATACATCTCGCCTGCCTCACCTTAGACCGGCACATGCCTATCGACACCCCGCCGACCCACATAGATCGCTTCGCAGCCATCCGTCGCCATGGTCTATCCACGAAATCCCTACTCGACCCCCAATGTCAGCTTCTTTGGCGGGTCCGGTAGCGGCTCCAAGGCCAATGGCGCAGCCCTCAGGTTCGACCCTGCACCCCACCCCGGGCTGGTCAACCTCGGCAACACCTGCTTCCTCAACGCCGTGCTCCAGGCCATGGGCGGCACACGCCAGTTCAAGCTGCTGCTGCAGGGCCCGTCCGAGCAGCTCCAGGACCACTTTGGTCACCTCGTCGATCTCACCGACGAGGCCGACTTTGAGTGGATCAAGCGCTCCCAGTCGCCCGCACTGCGCGTCCGCGACGAGGAGCACGGAAAGGGCCCCCAGAGCCAGCCCGTCCTACCTCGTCCAGCTTCGGCGCAGAAAGCAGGCTACGGCGACGGTGCCTCGACATTAAGACCGAAACGAGATCACCCTGCCGACCCGGCACAGGCCGAGCCCCAGCCATCGGGGATAGACGGCGGTGAGCAGGCGCAGCCCCTGCACGAACCCACCGTCATCGATCTGCCGCTCAACACCGCGCTGCGGCATACGCTCGAAAAGATCTGGGGCAGCTCAAACAGCTTGAGGGGGCCCAGCATCAACCCCAAGCGCCTCCTCACCCTCCTCGGCGCCAAATACGACCAGTACCTCGAATATGGCCAGCAGGATGGGCACGAGCTGATGCGTCACCTCCTCGATGCCTGCAGGATGGAGGAGATGGATCTCATCAAGAAGATGCAGCCGCCCAAGGACAAGAAGACCAAGAAGCGGGCGCAGCCTTCGCAGCAGAAGCATGCGCAATCGGCTGCTCAGGAGGTGGGGGATGCGAGAGTCGACACCGAGGTGGCGGGTGCGATGGACCTCCAGATGGGCGATGTTGACCGCGGCGAGGCCATCGCTGCGCCAATGTCGGTCAACGAGGCCGATCAGGCGGCCGTCGTCGTTGTCGACGAGGCTCGGTCAGAGGAAGCCGGAGACGCGGCGGCCGCAGCGGCAGCCGTGGTCGCAGAAGAGACCCTCCTGCCCTTCCTCGACATGCTCTTCTGCGGCAAGCTGGCCAGCATGATTGTCTGCGAGAGCTGCAAGAAGGTGTCGCACACGTACGAGGACTTTTTCGACCTCAGCCTGAGCATCCGCAGCGAGACCGACGTTCGGGTCAAGAAGGTGAGTTTCAGCTTGGCATCCGTTGCGCTCGGCTTTGAGCCTCGCCTGACCTCGATCACTCGTGTCCCTCCGATCCGGCCCCGTCGCTCTCGTTGCAGCGCGACCGCATCCGCAACATGGCCGACCGATGGCGGCGAGCGACCCAGGGCAAGCCGGTGGAGAAGTCCAAGCTCCACGATGCGACTGCCGCCTCTGCAGCGACGCCAGTCGCCACGCCCGTCTTCAGCGAAACCGAGGCGAGCGATGCCGAGGGCAAGAAGCCGCACAAGAAGCGTGGCAGCTTCCTGTCGCCCGCCGACGAGGGCAAGACGAGGTTCTCGCTGCGCACCCGCAGCATCACGCGGAGGCCGACATCGGCCAAGAGGGCCGAGAAGCTCGGCGCCACCTCGGGCAGCGAGATGGAGCCCGATTTCCCGGACATGGCTTCGCTCTCGCTGGCGCCGACGCCGCGCCACATGGCCGCTGACTCTGCGCCGCCCTCGGCGGGCGAGGATGACGGCGATGCGCGCACCAACACCCGACTGCCTCGGATGCTTGCGCCTCATCCAAACGGCGGCGAGAGCAGCCGGGAGCCGAGCCCGAGCGCACCCATCGGAGGGCGGGCCCTGCCTGCCGCCGCCAATGGCAACGGCATCAGTGCCGGCAATGTGGCTCCGACGCTCTCCTCGCACCAGGCGGACTACATTGCTCGCATCTTGACCGAGGACGCCGCGCCCGCCGCCGCCGCCGCCAACGGGCTGCCTCGCCGACCCGCCACGGCTTCGGGCGCATCGGGCGCGTTCTCCGACGTCGTGGCTCAGGTCTCCTCGGCGCATGGGCGCCACTTCCACGCGCTGCACCGCGGCATGAGCACGCGCGGACCTCGCAAGAGCGCGCTGTCCGAATTCGAGACCGATCCGGGCTCGCCGTCGGCAAAGAGGCGCAAGCAGATTCAGGAGGAGCAGAATTCGACCGGCCTCATCGCCGCACTGCGGCAGTTTACCAGCGTCGAGGTCCTCGACGGCGAAAACAGCTTCGCCTGCAAGAACTGCTGGCGGCTGCAGAACCCGCCGAGCGCAAAGGAACGGGAGCGATACCGGCGCAGGAAGGAGAGGCGCGGGCTGCGGTACGGGTCCGACGACGAGAGCGAGCCCAGCAGCTCCGAGGGCGGGTCGGAGTCGGACCGCGAAGGCGCTGTGGCCAGGGCGACCGCCAAGGAGCAGGCTCGCCACGTATCTGCAGCCGCGGGCAAGTCGGACGACGGTCCCCTCAACGGCTCGGCGACGCTTGCAGACGGCGCCGCGCCATCCGACATGGCGCCAAGGCGCTTCAACGCCTCCATCCCGACGATCACGACGCATGCGGGGACTCCACCGGCCACCGAAGCCACCGAGGGCAAGCAGCTCGGCCTGCAGAACGAGGCGATGGCGAAGCTGTCGGCGCCACACAGGGACGAGCACGGCCATCGACCGCCGGACTCGCCCCTGATGGCGTCGAGCCACGGCTCCGACTCGAACCTCAGTGCCAGCGCCAGCGGCTACGACACTGGCACCGAGACCGATCGATCCGGCGTGGCGACCAGTCTCGATTCCGAGACCGGCCTCGATGAGAGCGACGCCGATGCCGACGAAACGAGGCCGGCCGCGCCGTCGAGCAAGCCAAAGGGGCCCAAGCGGTCGACGCAGAGCCTGCCTCGCCGAGCGCTCAAGCGCTACCTCATCGCCTCGGCTCCGCCCGTGCTCGTCTTCCACCTGAAGCGCTTCCAGGCCACCGGCCGCGGCTTCGTGTCGGGACTCGCCGGGTTCAAGAAGATCGACGACCAGGTGACGTTCCCCGAGTACCTCGACATCACTCCCTGGCTCGCTCCGCCGCGCGAGGAGTACGACCGCAAGGGACGCCTCAAGGGCACGAGCGACCCTCTCGTCCTGCGCAGAAGGGCCGAGGAGGAGGCCAGGCGCGCGGGCATGGACATCAAGGATGTCCAGGTGCAGGTCGACAGCCCCGAGGCGGCGCGGCGGCGAGGGCGGCACAGGCACGGTCGCCAACACCATGGCCACGGCGATGCGGGCGAGGGCGACAGGGTGGCTGGCAAACGCCACTCGATGTGGTCCTGGACCGCAAGGGAGAGGTCGCGCAGCCGAGGCCCGCCTGGCGAAGGCGCAAGCGCAGCGGGAGCGGGAGCCTACATCGAGGAGGCCGAGGAGGTGCAGGAAGGTCCCCGGGTCAAGCAGGGCGATCGCGAGATCCTGCCCACTGTCGTGTCGCGGCCCAAGACTCAGTACCGCCTCTATGCCGTGGTGGTGCATCAGGGCTCGCTCTCGGCCGGGCACTACACGGCCTACGTGCTGTCGGACAAGATCCGCCTGAGCAACGAGGAGAAGGCAAACCTTCTGACGACGACCGTGACGCGCTCGGCGCCCGCAAGCCGCGTCAACACGCCCGCGCCCGCCAACGAGGCGCACAGGGAGAGGCGGCGGTCGACGCAGCTCGCCGAGACGCCGGCGCTGCAGCCGCTCGCGGAAGCAGAGGCCAAAGCCGAGGCACCGGCCGGGCCCGCGATAGAAGGAGACGGAGCGGCAGCATCGCTGGCGGGGCCCACTACCATGTCGACTGGCGATTCCAGCGCGGCCCTCTCGAGCAGCGGCAGCAGCGCCCACAGCAGCGCCGGCAGCGACGGGGCCGCCAGGCCGCCTCCGCCGCTGGTGCAGCCCAAGCCGCAGGCGGCGGTGCAGGCC